GCACAGCAGAGATGGACGGACACAGGGCTGTGACAATGGGCCCCAGCACAGCAGAGATGGACGGACACAGGGCTGTGACAATGGGCCCCAGCACAATGAGACAGTGAGGATGGTGCAGACCAGACAGGGTTTTGTTCTGATCCTCACAGGGTCACCATGAGTTGGCACTGACTCAACAACATCTAACAACAACCAGAGAAACCACAGTGGATGTTCTGGAACATCATTACACAGCGGGCCCCTCCCCACTGACAGGAGGCTCGGGGCAAGGGAGCTGTAGACAGACGTAGACAGAAGGAGCTCACCTGCAGGGAGCTGTGAACAGAGAAAACACAGGAAGAGGCTGTGCTGGAGGTGGGGCTGGCGGCGGGGTCCTGAAGCACCAACAGCTGGCGGTCAGTCTTGTGGGTGAACAGGAGCTGCAGGGGCGGGGTGAAGGTTAACTGGAGGGGCACAGGAGAACCTCCAGCCCCCAGACACTAGCCCATGCTGCCAGTGGCAGCCCATTTTTCACAAGGAAACATTGAAGCTTGAAGTCCCAAGGAAAGCTGAGATGTGGTACTTATTAATATCCAGCCTCCCAGCATAAGCACAGCTGTGGGCAGAGACCACTGGTCCCTGAGAAGCACCACTGGGGGCCTGCACTTAGGGGTCTAAGGAAGGAGGGGACTGGCTGTCTGGGATCCTGAGTCTGAGGAAGAGGGAGCTGGGGACCTGGACTCCTTGGTCTGAGGGAGGAGGAGGATGGGTCTGGACTCTTTAGTCTGAGGCAGGAGGGGACTGGGTCTGCACTCCTAGGTCTGAACTTCCCAGCCTGAAGGAGGGGACTTGGGGTCCTGGACTCCCAGTTCTGAGGGAGTAGGGCTGACTGGCCCATGAAGCTCGTACCTTAGTCAGGGCCTTGCTGGGCTCAGAGAAGTCCCTGCCCGGTGCTCCCTGGAGGTGATTCAGTTCCAGCAGTCGGCTCCGCTCCTGGAGGAAGACAAGACACAGACTCTCACCTCTCGGTGTCAGAGACTTCATCCCAGAAGCAGCTTTCCTTGAGGAAAAGTGTGGGGAAGAGGGACAGAGCGGGTGCCCCAGGACAAGTGAGGACAGGGGTCCAGGTCTCGGGGAGCCTCACCTGTGTCAGGGCTTGAAGGGCCTCCTCCTTCTTACGGCTCAGACCCCGGCTCTCTGCCGCCATCTGCTCCCCCAACGACTTGAGCTGCTCCTCCAAGACCTGGATCCGGCGCTGCAAGGCACCCCACAGCCAGATTAATCAGCTGGTCCCCCCACACGCCCCCATCCCGGGCCTCCTGGTGGCTCATGGAGCCCCTGGGATCTGGCTGCCCATTTAGGGATCCAGAAGGAAACTGGAGTGGCCAGGATGGGTGGGGGATTTGATTTACAAATGGAGGCTAAGGGAGGCAGACAGGTCAGGACCTACAGAGTGTTACCAAGAGTCAATGAGAAAGGGACAGAAAGGCAAACTGGGTACAGACAGGGGGTGATTGTTGTTAGGTGCCATCAATTCGACTACAACTCATAGCGACTCTAGAACAGATCTGAACCCTGCCTTCTCCTGCACAGACAGGTAGGAGGGCCAAATGGACCAAAAAGGTAGAAGTACAGAAAAAGGAGACAAAGAACAGAGACGGAGAGAAACTGAGACAGACGATGGGACAGGAGAAAGATCTCTCTCCCCATTGCTATCAAGTCAGGACTTGTAGCTGACTCTCCATTGGGTTTCTAAACTACAAACAGCATAGGAGGGGACTGCCCATCTTTCTCCCTTGGAACCGCTGGTGGATTCGAACCACCTAAGAGGCGTCACCTTTTGAGTTAACAGTGCAAGCAGAGATCCCCTACCGAAAGATCTAGAAACACAAAAAATTCAAGCCACTGAGCTGCTGTGTCGATCCTGATTCATGGAGACCCTCCCTTGGGTTTTCTGAGACTGTGAATCTTTTATTTTTTAAATAAAATTTTAATTAAATTGTGATTTTTAACTAACATTTACAGAGAAGTTAGATTTTCATGCATTCATTGCTGCACATTTTATCTCTCACCCTCCCTTCACTCTCCCCCAGTTCAATTTTTTTTAGTCATTCATTGTTGCACAATTACCTACCTCCCCCCACCCCTTAGTCCTCTTTGCAATGATAGCTCTCTCACTCTAGGCTGTTGTCGTACATATAATGCCTAGTCATATTCATTTTAGACAGTTCTTTATCTTTATCTGTTTCAATGCAATAGTCATTATTTATCCACTCTTATCCTATTCTCCTCCCAACCCCCATGTCAGGCCCTGATTTATAACAGTGATGAATGCAGTATTTGTCCTTTTGTGACTCAGATATTTCACTCAGTATAATATCCTCCAGAGTCCCCCGTGTTGTGTAATGTTTCACAAGTTCATTTTTTCAGTGTTGCATAGTATTCCACTGTATAAATTATCCTGCCACCCAAATAGATATGCAAACATATGGATAGAGACTGTGAATCTGAACAAAGGCAGCCTGCTTCAGCTTTCTCCCTTGGAGCAGGAGGTGGATTCAAACAGCTGACCTTTCGGTTAGTAGCCCAACACGTGATAGACAACCCTACCAGGATTCCTTGAGATATAGAAATAGAGGTGGAGAAAGGTGACTCACACCCAAGGTTTCCAGTAACTCTGGAAAATTCCATTTTAGGTGCAGTCACGCACGTCCCTCTCACCACTATTCACACACACACACACACACACACACCTTCCTGCGGGCCTGGCAAACCCTTGACTGGGTTGCTTCCAGGAAGGGCTGGCTGACAGCGGCATCTCTGAGCACCACAGAGTGCTATAGCGAAAACCAAGCACTTCAAAGGGAAGTTCTACCTCCCACAACGCGATCTCTGGTGGTCTAGTCATAAGGAGCCGTGCTCCCAACCCAAAGGCAAGCAGTTCAGACCCACCAGCCACTCGGCAGGTCAAAGACGGGCAATCTCCAACCAAAGGGTGTATAACCTCTGAAAACCCGCTGGAGGTTCAGCTATAAGTTGGTTCCAACTCAATAGCCCAAACAACAGAAACAACTCCCTGTAAAGCAAGTGGCCATGGACACCAAACTACGTGGCTTGAGTCCCTGGTGTTTCAGTGTCTCCATTTATAAAATTTAAAAATAAATAAATAAAAAAGGATTAGTGCTGTGCAGTGAATTGTATAAGCATGGTCTTGAAACTCCCACAAAGTGATGGGGTGGGACTATGCATACAAGGAGCATGGAATGACTGTGTGGGGACTGGCCAGCTCTACCCTCTCTTTAAGCTTAAAAGAAAACACCCTGGTGCTATGGTGTATTACCAGTTGCACCGCTAACCAAAAGGTTGGAAGTTCAAATCCACCAGCTGCTCTGAAGTAGAAAGTGGACAGACTCTGCCCATAGATTTAGAGCCTCAGAAATTAGATGGAGGGTCAGAATCAACTCAACAGCAGTGGGTTTAAGTTTAAAAGAGCCAAGCCACACAATCTGGAGAGAGATCTCATCACTACAAAGAATTCTTTTGTCCTTGAGTCAGAACCAACTCATAGCTGACTCAGCAGGTTTTCAGATTGTAAATTACACTGAGGAAATGGAGGGTCAGAAAGAGAGAAAGACCCTCTACAGAATAGATTGACAGAGTGATTATAACAATGGTCTCGAGCATATCGACGGGACAGGATAGGGAGCGGTTCAGATCTGTTTCATAGAGTTGCTACGAATGGAGGTTGACTCACAGCCCGGGAAGAGATTGCCTGTCTTTCTCTTGGAGAGCAGCTTTCGGTTGGCAGCTCGGCTCCTTAACAGTAGGCCACCAGAGTTCACTGTTACAAAGACTAAGAGCCAGGAATAAAGAGCATTCTTTGGACCCAGGGACCCTGTGCTGAGAACGTTCTATACTCAGGAGAAAAGGACAGAGAACTGTAACAATGGTTTGAGATTGAAGAAGCAGCAACAAATGTAGCAGGGTCTCGGCAGAGGCACAGTGACAATAGGGAGACCGATGGGAGATGGTGCAGGGAGTTTTCCAGCCTGTGGAGGGATGTTACACTGGGCTTGCAAGATTCACTGGGTGAGAAAGCTAAGTGCTTTCAGGCAGGAGGCATGCTGGTGGAGTAAGATGCCTCTGGAGACTTATCAGCAGAGATAAGTGTTATAACATTTGCCTAAGCCACCGTGCCTGAATGCCAAGCCTAAGAACCTGTTCTGGTTGAAGGACTGTATCTTAAGTTACTCCTGTTACTTCCAAGACAATCTTGATACTGTAGTACCTTTGCTTCCCTAACACACCCTATAATATAATTTTGAGTTCTGTGTGGCCATGGCAACAAATTATTGAACCAGCCAAGACTTAAAGAGTGAGAGAGGCAGCTGGTGTTGTGTTGGTAAAAGGCTGGAGAGCAAAGAATACATGGCCTCCACCTCAGAGGCATCACCTTAGTGCTCATGGCCTTTTACACTTATTCCCATGAGGTAGATGGTTCTGTCACTCGATACCACCATTCTATCACTCACCTCGCAGGACTGGTGGAAGCATTCATGAATTAACACTCAAGATATACTTACTATACTACCTGGCACACAGTAAATATTCGGTAAATATCAGCTAATTGATGCCTTGTACTGTGGTGTTGGAGAAGAATACTGAGTATCGCACAGACTGCCAAAAGAACAAACAAGTCTATGTTGGAGAAAGTGCAACCAGAGTATTCCCTAGAAGAAAGGGTGGTGAACCTCACTACACATATTTTGGGCATATTGCCAAGAGGAGCCAGTCCTTGGAAAACACATTATGCTGGGAAAGATGGAGACTGAGGCCCTCAACAAGATGGGTTACACCGCGCCGGTAACAGTGGTGATGAGGATAGGCAGGACAGCATGAGGTTCAGGTCTGTTGTTCATAAGGTCGCTGTGAGTTGCAGTTGGCTTGAAGTCATCTAACAATTGCTGTCACTACTCTGAGGAACATGACAAAAGCAGGAAACCAAGACAAAGAAAGGCCTAGAAACAGAGTGGAGGGATGGAGAAGGTGGCAAGGGAGGCGGGCCAGCCATGTCCCACTCACCCGGTGCTGTGCCACGCTGGCCTGCAGCTCCTGGACCTTGGGGTCCAGCACCTGGGCCTCTGAACTAACCCGATCCTCTTCCTCCCGCCGGCTCTCCTGCTCCAGCTGCTGGAACTCGAGGTCTTCGTAAACACGCTGCGCCACCTCCAGCTGTTCCCTCACCTGTGGGTGAGGATGGAGGAGAGCTGGAGGGCTGGACCCACACCCCCAGTCAATAAGGAAGGGGGGACAAAAGGTGAAGGGAAGAGGAGTGGACTTCTGAGTCTGAGGAAGGAGGGGCTGGGGCATGGACTCCTGGATCTAAGAGAGTAGGAGATTTGGGGCCAGGATTCTCTTGAGTCTGAGGAAGGAGAAAGTTGGGGCTCAGACTCTTGGGTCTGAAGGAGCAGGGAGCTGGGAGCTGGACTCCTGGTTCTGAGGTAGGCGGGGGCTGGGGATTAAACGCCTGGGTCTGAGGCAGACAGGGGACTAGGAAATGGACCCCTGGGTCTGAGAAAAGAAAGGCTGGAGCTGGACTCCAGAGTGCTGGACACCAGTCTCCAGAGGTCAGAAGCCCCTACCTCCTGCATCTCCTGCTGCAGCAGCTCCCGCTGGTCCTCGGGCTGTGCATCAAGCTGTCCCTGGGCCTCACGGAGCCTCTGGCGGAGCCCCTCCACACGGTCCTGCTCCTGCCTAAGACGGCTCTGCCCCTGAAAGAACACGGGGGCGTCAGCCTCGGCCCCATCCTAGTGGGGACAGAGGCCAGCAGGGGCCTAGCTGGCCAGCTTTCACGCGCCTAACTGGGAATTCAATCCCAGGAGGACAAGCCTTTGTCTGTTTCACTCTGGTAGATACGTACTGGGAAATAGGTGAAAATAAACAGTTGTGGCTCAAAAAAACGTTAAACATAACTAAATAAAAAATTAAGCTGAAAAATATCCAAAACATTAAACATGAAAGTATCACTAAAAATGAAAACAACCACTGCTGTCAACTCACTTCCAACTCCGTCAGGATTTCTGAGGCAGAAGACAGCTTCACAATTCTCTTCAAGAACTGTTGGTGGATTTGAACCACTGACCTTCAGATCAGCCAGGCAACACTTTACATGCTATGCTACCACCAGAGCTTGAGCTCCCTCATGATCCCAACATTCCACTCCTAAGTATCTACCCCAAAGAACTGAAAGCTGAGGCTCAGACACTTATACATCAATGTTCATTATAGCATTAGTCACAACAAGCTAAAGGTAGACAACCCAAGCATCCATTAGCAGAAGAATGGACACAGAAGATGTGGGGCATGTACAGAACGGGCCATTGCCCAGCCAGAAGGAGAAATAACGCTGTGGTACATGCTGTGACATGAAGGAACATTGGAAATACAGTGAGCGGAATAAGTCAGTTACCAGATGGACAAACATCATATGATCCCTCTTACATGAAGTGTCTAGAATCGGAAAAGGGGCAGGCAGGAGGAGGAAATGGGAAGCTACCGTTTAATGGATATAAATTTCTATTTGGGGAGATGAGAAATATTTTGGAAGTAAATAATGATGATTGTGAAGAAAAGTTTAAATTAAAAATTATATAGTTTTTGATTGCCTTGGAGTTGAGCACAACTCATAGTGACTCTACGAACAAAAGGCCTGAAGCCTTTCTATAACTAACGACATTTATCAAAGTTCATAGAGTTTCTGGAGGCATGTTGCTTAGGACATGGATGCCACTCCCGAAGATTTAAGGCCAGGATTCTTGAGTAAAAGTTTTTATCTCTGGGTCTGAGTGAGGAGGGGCCTGGGGGTTCTACTCCTGGGTCAGAGGGAGGAGGGAGCTAGAGGCTTGCACTCGCGGAGCTAGGGGCTGGGGTTTGGACTCCTGGGTCTGAAAGGAGAAAGTTGGGGCCCTGGACTCCTGGGTCTGAGGGAGGAGGCTGGGGGTGGACTCTTTGGGCTGAGGGAGGAAGGGCTGGGAGCTGGACTCCTGGGTCTGAGGGAAGAGGAGGCCGAACTCCTGGGCCCTGAACTCCTGGGGCCTGGAGAAGGAAAAATAATCTAGTAAGCAGGCTATACAGACATCAGGAGATATATCAAGATTGGGAGATATTTAAAGAGGGCCCAACACTCAGCCCCAGGAAAAGATAAGACCAAAGGAAAAGACTGATAGAATTGGAAAGTCACCAGTTCCCAACTTAAAATGAAACTATCCAAGCAATGATCACCAATCACAGAGGTTAAAACCTTTCAGGGAAAGATTAAAAAGGAAGAATAAAGGTCTGGACCACCAGGCATCCTGTCCCCCAACACCAAGTACTGGAAGCCTTAAAGTGAACCTGATCAAGCCTGTGTATCCAGCCAGTAACCAACAGGAAACACAGGGGCCTTCATAAATGGCATCACTGTCACCCACAAGACTTGTGTCACCCACAAATAAACATCATGAAAAAAATCAAAGGAAATGGAGATAAAAAAATACCCATGAGATATTTAACCAGTCACAACACTGTAGCCTTTTAGCGACTGAAGTGAAAAAAATCAACTCTAAGAAGACTTTTTTGAGACATTAAGAACTTAATAATTCTTTAGATGCAAGAATAATATGGTTCTTTTGTCTGTTTGTTTTTAACAGCGTTCTGGCTTATGTTAAAGTATTTATGGGCAATAAGATATACGTGATGAGTTTTTAAGACTCAGGATAAGGAAACCCATTGGAGAACATGAAATAGGTAACGAAGGTGGTCAGAGAGCACACATGGAGACCCCCTTCTGTTTTTGTGGGTTTGAAAGCATTCATAATGTGACATTTAAAAAGCAACAAGAAAAAAAAAATAAAAAGCAACAAGAACTAATGGGTATGAGAATCACAAATAGGAAGTGGGGAAAGAGCAATAACATTGTGGGGAATGTAATGGATATTGTAAAGTAAAATGTGTAGAAATGGTTGAATGGCAAACCAACTCACTCTAGAAACTTTTACTCAAATGTCAATTTTTTTTAAAAATACTAATAGAAAGGAGAACAATAGAACAGCAAATGAAGAGTCAATCCTTTGAACTGTCCCAGTGAATTAGACCCAAACATCCATTAGAGGGAAAGCTGGCAAACAGGGGCCACATGGCCCTCACCTCTCTGGATACAAGTGTCTCCATTTGGGGTATGGAGGGAGTGAGGAAGCCCAGAGCTCCCCCCTGGCAGGAAGCACAGCCAGGAAGATGTAACAGGGGAGGGTACAGGTAAAGATCAAACACACACCTGTTCCTGCTGCTCGAGGCCGCCCGGCTCCAGGTCCGTGTCCGAGTCTGCCTGCAGCCCTAGGAGCTCCCGAAGCTGCTCCTCCTCCCGCCGGAGGGCCACGCGCTCCCCAGCCAGCTCCCCGCGCAACAGGGCCACCTCCACCTCCATCTGCAGAGGAATGCAAGGGCCAGAGTGGGGTCCTGGACGGCAGGGTCTCAGACAGGGGAGGACTGCTCCTAAACTTGTGGTTCTCAGGGAGGAGGGGCGAGGAGCAAGGAATCCGGGTCTGGCCGAGGACGGTGCTCCCGGCCTGGAATCAGACATCAAAGGAGGACGGGACTGGAGGCCTGGCACTACTCATCTTTATGTGTAGAGCCCACACCCCGAAAATGGCTCCACAACCTCACCTCAATCCTCAGTTCCTTCCTCTGGCGCTGCAGCTCCTTCACCCGCTGTTCCATCAGGGCCACGCGAGTCAGGGCCTCTAGCTGCTGCCCTCGAAGTCGCCGCGCCACCACTCTGGCCCCTTCCCCAGGTTGGGCGGGGGGAGGGGTCGTGACCGGGCTCCACGCGGGAGGCGGGGCCTCGGGCTGTGAAAGGAGGCGTGGTCAGTTGTGAGACCACGCCCCCACGTCCACTCCTATCTACACATCTGTAATTCCTCAACTCACTATCTCCAACTCTTACACTCAAGGTAGGGCGGAAGGAGGGCTCAGGTCCCCCCAGATACCTCGAGGTTCAAAGTCCAGAGAGGGTGGGGCAGCCTCGCTAGAGAAGTTTCTATTGTTCACAGCCCCCTCTTGGTCCTGGGGACTCTCTTTCTCTGGGTCTCTCGGCTCATCTCTTTTAGCTCTTTAACTTTGCCTTTTAATATCCTTTGTGACTGTCTCGGAATCTCGGGTCTTTCCCTCTCACTCTCTCCCTCTGTCCAGGTTTCTTTGTCTCCATTCCCGTGCTTCCCGCAGTAGCTCTCTGCACTTTCCCTCTTTCCACCTGTGTCTCCATCTCTAAATCTGTGGGTCCCCCTCCTTCTGAGTTCTTGTATCTTATGCCCCGGGTCTGTGTCTCCTTTCTGGGTGTCAGCAATGTGGGTCTCTCTCTCTCATGGCAGCAGTCTCCACATCTCCGTCTCTGTCTTTTTCTGTCGTTCCATCTGGACTCTGGCTACCTCTCTCTGGGATTCTTGGATCCTGTGTCTCTGTCTCTGGGCCTCTTTAATCTCCTTTCTCTACACCCATCACTGTGTCTTCCAGGACTGGGTCTTGGCAGGTTTCTGTCTTTCTGGCTCTCCATAATCTCAGTATCTCTGGGGCTGTCTCTGTAAACTACACCTGTCTGTCTCTATGCCCGTCCATCTCCATCGAGGCTCGCTTAGTGAGTCTGTCTCCCCACGGGCCTCCCTCCGCGCCCTTCACCGTGTCGCGGCTGCTCTCTGTGCTGCTGCCTTCCACCTCTTCCTCTTCCTCCGCTTGCTGCTCTGCTCCTCGGCAGCTTGGAAGCTCCTCCCGGGCTTTGAGGGCCACTGGCTGCTGAGGTTCTTCAGCGGACTCGTGAGGCGGGGCAGCCCCTTGGATCTGGACCTCCACTTTGCGCTCCGGGGCCGGGGTCAGGGGCGACCCCTCCTCGGGGAGGCCGGGTGTCCCCATGGCCGCTGTACGCTCCTGCGGGGTGGGCGGGGCTCGCAGTCCTGGGGGAGTGGCCCGGCCCAAGCCTGGGGGGTGGAGTAGGAGCACTGAGCGCCACGCCCGGCGTCTCAGGCCCGCGGAGAGCTTCAGGAGGCGGGGCCTACGGGTTCAAAGGATGAAAGCGAGCGCTAAAGGGGCGTGTCCTCGGCCGCTGGGGGCGGGGCACTGCTCCGGAGCTAGCTCGCCAGCTCCCAGGATGCCCCGCCCCGGAGGCGGGGCCCAAATTTGAGTGCTGGGATCCTAGCTCGCCCCCTACGGGTCTCTCCAACCCCTTCCTCCCTCCATACCCAAGTGCGGGTTTAGCACCCCTACAGCAACCCCCCTCAATCCTCTGGACTACCTTAAACAGACCCTGCCTCCTCCCATGGGGACTCAGGAATCTCGCACACCTGCACCTTTCGTCTTAAACCCCAAACTTTCCTTCTTGGAGCATGGGAGCCTGGGGCCCAGAGCCCAGGGGTTAGCAGCGCCCATTACATCTCACCCTGGAGTCAAGCTACCAGTCTCCTCCCCTCTGGACAGGCCTGGAGTCTGAGTTCTCCGCTCCTGCTAGGAGCCAGATTCCCGGATTCCCTGAGACTCTGGGAGGCCAGGTCCCCAGCCCCCCTGCAATGCAGGCCCAGCCTCTCACCAGCTCGGCCCCGGAGCGCTCCCTCTGCGGTGTGGGCGCCGACGCTTCTGTCCCAGAGACAGGTGGCTGAGAAGAGGGAAGGAGGAGAGAGAGAGAGGCCACCCCGTCTCCCCTCCCCAGCAGCCCGGAAGTGGAGGGGGGACAACAGGTCCGACAGCTCTGAGGGAGGAGGCAGCCACCAGTTTGCCCCGCCCGCAGCAGCGGCATCCAGCCATCCCGGCTCCACGGGCCCCACCCTCGGAAACCCAGAACCCCGATCCCACTAGGACTCCAGCGCCCCATGCCTGCCCCCCAGAGCCACATCTTACTGGGACTCCAGCACCCTCATGCCTGCACCCCAGAACCTCATCCTTCTGGGACTCCAGAGCCCCCTTGCCTGCCCCTAACAGATGTCTCCCTGGAGACTGTACTAGCATCTTCTTAATGCCAACAACTTGGGAATCCTGAAAGGAAGAGAGATGGAGAGGTCTCGCCCTCTAATGAACTCTTTATATATAAGGGCCCCGACTGGTTTGGGGAGGTGGGCAAGGCAAGGGGTTGCCCTGAGCTGTCTTTGACCCACGCAGACACAGAAGGAAGTGTGCCCCCCAACTTTGCTAAGGTGGGGGAGAGCAGAGGAGACTAGGCTTTCCCCTCTCGACCAGAACAGAAAAGCAGCTGGCATGTGAAAAGGGTTTACTAGATTTGGGAGCTGGCTAAATATACCAACTGATTTCATCTTCCCAGTGGCCCAGAGAAAAGAATCATTCTTTCCATCTTACAGTTGGGGAAACTGAGGCTGAACAAACTTGGCTGAGACATCTATACAAGCAGTAATAATGACACCAGATTGCCCCTATGGGAAACCCATGCTGGGTTTACCGTGCCTCACCCCTCAATCAGGGGCCAGGAAGTGCCTGACAAATATGTCCGAATAATGATAAAGGTTATCACTGATGAGGAAACTTCCATGCAGGTGTGTTGCCCAGCACTTCATACATAAAAACTCATGAGGGAGTCAACAACCCTATTAACACCATCACATCCATTTTACAGATGGGGAAACTTAGGCCAGGAGCTTCCCATTGGCATACAATGTCACTGTTGGGTGCCTTTATGTCAAGTACGACCCCAGTGAAGAACAGATCTGACCCCTGTTCTGTCCTGTGCCATGCTCATCATTTCTGGCATTCTTACACTCATTACTGCAATCACGTCAATCCATCTGGTTGAGATGAAAGGGTCTTCCTTTCTTTCGCCAACCCCTCCACCTTTCCAAGTATGGCACGCAACAGATCTCCAGTATAAATGAGTAAAATGTCCTTAAAACTTACAAATCTGCTCGAGATTTTAAAAGGTTAAAATTCTGATTAAGATGTTTGTCTGTAGGGAACTGAGCTGCTGACTCTAAGGCTGTGCCTCTCCGGCAGTTTGAATTCACTAGAGGCTCCAAAGGAAAAAGATCAGCAACCTCTTCCCAAGATTTTCAGTTTCAGAAACTCAATGGAGCATCAGCTATAAATTGGTTCTGACTTGATGGCAATGACTTTGAGTTCTATAATATTGTATTTTGACTAAATTCTAACAACTACTTCTTGGGGGAAAGGACTGCATTCAAGCGTTTTTAAGCATTCCATTGTGGTGTAGTCCTTAGGAAGCTGTGCTAAGCTCCAGGCAGTACCTCTCTGGTGGTTCCTGTCCACCAGTGGCTCTGAGGGAGAATTGGTCAGGGGAGATCTGGTGAATTGTGTTGGCAGAATTGTGCTGCCAACCCAAAGGCAAGTGGTTTGAGTCTACTAGCTGCTCTGAAAGAGAAAGATGAGCAATCTCCTCCCATGTGATTTACAGCCTCCAATAAACCATGGGAGGGTCAGAGATAAGTAAACTCAACAGCAATGAGCTGAGATCTAGAAAACAAAAAAGGGAACAATTCTCTTGTAGAAAAGTCAATGTAAAAAAATAAATAAATAAATTTAAAAAAAATAGGTCTTCTCTGGTCCTTTTCTTTATTTTCTTTATCAACAGTTGCTAGGTGCCTATAAATAATTTAAAAAAAAAAAAAAAGATAAGTCAATGTCCTGAGCCAAAGAGAGATGAAATCTGGTCAGATTTCCGTTTGCATCTGAACTTGAGTTAGAGCAAATTCTCTGGACCTTCACTCTTTCCAGAAACTGGAACCAAATCCAGGCCCCTCAGCCCAGAAACCCAAATGCCATTCCATCCAGAGAATTAGGCAGGAGTCATCCTTGTGGCACAAAAATAAAGTTTATTTAAGCAGTCCAAAGGGCTGAAGAAGGGCAGAGACTGGGGATGGTGACACCTCTCCCCTGATGTCACTGTTAGCAGATTTCAACACCTGATAGTGAGGTCAAGAGGGGGGTGTCTGGATCCCACAGCGCATGTTGGCTGGAACAGCAACATCTGAAAGGAAGAGACCAAGAAGATAAGGCACCCAGACAGACCCCATGCTCCACTGTACACCCAGAAATCCTAGGAATCCCTTTCTAGGGATCTAGAATTCTGGCCATGAGCTCTTGTCTTCCTCAGACTCAAAATTTATGTCTTCTAATCCCCTCCTCCCTCAGACTCAGGAGTCTGGAACCCTCAGCCTCCTCCTCCCTCAGTTTCAGCAGTCCTGGGCTCCAAGGGCCTCCAACAACCTCCTCCCTAAGACTGCAGAGTCCAAGCCTCCTAGCCCCTCATCCTTCAAATACAGGTCCAGGCCCCCAGCTCCCTCCTCTCTCAGACCCAGAAGTCTAGGTCCCCAGCCCCCTCCGCCCTCAGACGCACAAGTCCCAGGCCCCTAGCTGCTTACCTATCTTCTGAGGCTTGGGCAAGTTCAAGTTGTCCATGACCTTGATAAATTCCTCACAGCTGAGCGTCAGCCGAGGGTTCAAAGTCCGTTCCTCCTCCACAGTGGACACTGTGAGCCCTAGTGGCCAAGGGAGGGGGAGAAAAGTCAACCAACCCATCCAGAGCGTTGGGCCTCTCAGAACTACATTTCCCAGGAGGCCTCAGAGTGCCTCCCAGGCCTGGGACTAAACAGGCTCTTCCCAGAAATGTTCCCTGAGATTTTTGGCACTATGGGAAATGTAGTTCAGCTAAAGGCCAAGCGGCCCCAGGGAAACAAGTTCCCTGCAGAACTCAGAGTCCTTTCTACAGCCACACACCATACACCTGAGGATATGTTTATTTTCTGCCGAGAGGAACGTCTGGAATTGTAGTGTCCACGCTCCCTGAAGAGAACGGCAAGCTGGTAAACCAAACCAAGACCACTCCCACCGAGCTGATTTCAACCCAGGACAACCAACCACATATGTTAGGGAGTAGAACGGGCTCCACGGGGTTTTCTCTGCTCCACTCTTTAAGGAAGCGGATGGCCAGGCCTTTATTTCTTGGCATCACTGGCCTTTGGATTGGTAATTGAGGGCAAACTACGTCACCCAGAGGCTTGGCCTCTTTAAACAGCAAAAGCACTGAGTCAAAGGCAACTCCGGGCAACCCCAGGAGGAAAACTGTGCTCCACGGGGCTTCCGAGCTTGCCATATTTTAGAAGTGGTTTGCCAGGCCTTTCTTCTCCAGGACTCCTGAAAGGGTTTGGACTGCCAACTCTTGCAGTCCGTTGTATATATGCTTAACCCTCTGTGCCACCCAATTACTCAGTGACCTGCTACTCGCTTTCAAAGGGTAAGGGATAGTAAGCCGCACCCCTCCTCCGAGAAAGCCTTACCGCGATAATCGTGAGCTGGGTAGATGAGACAGTCGCCTGGCAGAGTGAAGATCTTTTCGTGGACCGAGTGATATAAAGTCTTAGCACAGCCTGAGGAGAGAAACTCGGGGTCAGTGCATCAATAGGACAGGAAATTTGCTTCCTAACCCCTTCCTTCAGGGTACTCTGGTGACCTAGTGGATAAGGAGCTGTGCTGCCAACCCAAAGGCAAGAGGTTTGAAACCACTAGCTGCATGGAGAAAGATAGGCAGTCTCCTCCCATGCAATTTGCAGCCTCTGAAAACCCACTGGAGGGTCAGCTAATGAGTCAGTTCTGATTCAACAGCAATGAGTGGTTGTTGAGTTGAAGCTCTTCCTTTGGGAAAAGGGAAAGAAGATAAAATCCCTCTAGCTAAACCCTCTGTTCCTTCACTGCTAGGACCCTCTGTCTAGGTGGGGGAAGAGGAGAGAGAGGGGCACGCAAGGCAGGTGGAACAGCACATGCAAAGAACGGGAGGTAGGGACAAAGGAAAGCTGAGAATGAGTTGGGCAGGCCTTGGAGCACTAAGGCGTATGCCCTCACCCTAGGAACACAAGAAAGGGTTACAGGCAAGGAAGGCAGCCAGGAAGATAAAGAGAACAGGAGACCAAGGAAGGGGCTAGAGTCATGGTTCCAAGAAGAAGCTCTGAGTCCTAAGCTGAGACCAAGGAAGGGGCTAGAGTCATGGTTCCAAGAAGAAGCTCTGAGTCCTAAGCTGAGACCAAGGAAGGGGCTAGAGTCATGGTTCCAAGAAGAAGCTCTGAGTCCTAAGCTGGGTCAGGACAAAACTTTCTAGTATGGCCTTTCATTTCAACCTCACAGTTATGTGGGCGAATGGGATATTAGGAGCTTAAGAAAAGAAAAAGGGGGAAACAAACAAACCACCAAACAGAACAAGATGGAGAGATAAGAAGGAGGGAAGAGGAAGCAGGCAGCTGCTGGGGACCTGGCTGCCCACACCCACACCCAGCTAAGGCTTCAGCCTTTCTCATATCCAAGTTTGTCCTCCTCCCCATAAGTCCATTAACACCTCTAAATGCCATAACGCACATTCACACACAGACCCAAAGGACAGGTGAACCCTGAGATTCTGGAACCAAACTCCCTCCTCCCCACAGCAAAACCGCAAATCTAATTGCTCCCGGCAGTTAATCTCCAAATGTAACCCTTGTTGTTGGGCCCTGTCAAGTCAACTACAACTTTCTCTCAAGGAGAAAAAAATGTAAACTCTCAATTCTTAAACCAGAGCAACAATTTTTGTTAGTTACTTGCAGCCAAACATCTTAAGTCTGGGAGTGGGTTAGCATGAAGCTAACCCACTCCCAGACTCCTGGCTATCAGGAGCTATGTGAGATAATGAATGCTAATAGTTATTTTGCTTGGAAAAGTAGAAGGTCAGCAATCAAGAGGAAGATCCTCAATGAGGTGGACTGACAGTGGCTAAAACGGACTTGCGCGTGGCAGGGATCATGAAGCTGGGGCATGATAGGGCACGATTCCAATCTGTGCTTCTTTGTGAGTCAGTCAACTCACAGCAACACTTTTAAATCACTAAGTTTTGGAATGTTTGTTACACAGCAATAGTGGCCCTTTTGCAGCTAAATCCTTGAATATAACTGTTCCACTACAGCTAAGCTCCTAATCTTGCCTGTTCCATCAGCAAACCCCTTTGAATTAACCCTGACTCCCTGTTAGCATAGCATTCATTCATTCATTCATCCATTCTTGATACTTCAAACCCTGGGGCACACATAAAACCAGTCCAAACTATTGGGCCAGGCAGCTGTGACCTTCCTGGAAGTCTGTCCGTCCACACCCTCGGATTAGCAAGGCATCTCCAGTGAAGGCCATGCTGTGGTCATTCAGGACAAAGGTGACACAGCCTGGGGTGTGGCCAGGGCTGGCCCGGGTCTCCAAGGCCTGGGGGAGGGGGGAGAGGGAAGAATACAGAGACAGTCAGCAACGAATCAATAGCTCCCCCACCTGGTCCACAGCGTCCCGTCCAGCCCACGTCATATCTAGCTGACCTTCTGGGGAAAATATTGAGTCAGATCTCAAGTTCAAACCTTATTCCAAGATAAACTCTCAAATGGGTTAAAGACTAAACACAAAAGAATTAACACGATGCAGGAAATGCAAGAGAGTAAAACCAATACGGTGAAAAAAGGTTAATTTGCAATATTACCCTTTTTCCTCTTGATATGAAATCAATGTATGAAAACTTTTAAATATATCTAGTTTTCATCAAGGGAACTCTTATTAGGCTAGGAGTAAGAACCTGGACTGCAGTCCCAGAGACGTGTGGTTCAAATCCATCAGCGCTCCACAGGTTGGACAATCTCCTCTTGAGCTATTTACTTGCCTCTGAAAACCCACTAGAGGGTCAGCTGTGGGTCAGTTTTGACTCAAAGACATGCAAGTACAACAAGTTTTCACCAGGGAGCTTTGGGAGCTTAGCGTAAGAAACCACACTGCCAATGCAAAGTTATATGATTCGAATCCACCATTTGCTCAACAGGAGAAAGATGAGAAGTCTCCTCTCCTGCAATCTACTGCCTCTGAAACACCGCCGACGGTCAGCTATGGTTCAGTTCCACCTTGATGATACACACCAACAATGACAACAATTTAAAAATACAAAGAGATCTCTATTCTCTGGTTAGAAGAATGTCCTAAGCTGATCCCTATAAATATAAATCACTCAAGAAAACACCAACAGTTTAATCTGAAATAAATGTAAAGCTATTTAATATCAGCACACTATAAATAAACTTGAAAGGAAAACAACCCACTGGGGAAATATATTTGTAAGCACAGTAATAACACACACTGGTCTACACACTGCACATGCAATCAGTTCCCGCAAATCAATGAGGAAAAGACAAAAACGTAGAAATCAAATGCATCACGGAGCTCTGAGGTGCAATCCCCACGGAGTTCCGCTGCTAAGGCAAAGGTCAGTCCACCAGCTGCTCCGTGGAGAAAGATGGGCTCTCTCCCTCCTGTGATTTACAGCCTCAGGAACCTGCTCAAGGGTCAGCTACCAGCCGGTTCCAACTAGACGGCACTGAGCTTGAGTCTGAAGGTAAGTCTAAGACCCAGCGTTAACTTTTTGGACAAAATGCACAGAAGTGCCTATAGAGGGAGTCCTCATCATCCAAGGGCCACATGCCGATCTGGTAAATAAACTCAACCCAAGCCCGCTTCCCACAAGCGGATTCTGACTCATAGCATCTTCTCAGTCAGGTGTCCAGTCTCGACGTGTTAGTAGGAAGAGACTGACTGCCTCATCACTCCATGGAGTGGCTGGTGCCTTCCCAGTGCCTCCTGTAGGATTTACAGCCTTGGAAACCCAGAGAGAGTCAGCTATGATTCACTTCTGACTTGATGTCAATGAGCTGAGTAGAGTTATAACAGAGTAGGGGCCTCTGGTGGCTTCATCATTAGGGAGTTGTGCTGCTGGCCCAAAGGCTAAGCTGTTCTGGTGGTTCAAATCCACTAGCGAAGCAGGAGAGACAGGACGTCTCCTCCTGGGCGACATGCAGCCTCAGAATCCCAATGCAGGGTCAGCTGTGGTTGGTAATGACTGGGTAGCAATGAGATTTTGTGGTGTTTTTTTTTAACAGCACCGGTTTTTTCTTTACCACATAGAAGTCATGGTGGGTCAATAATAGAATTCTGGCCTTCATGCAAAGGAAAACCCTTGGTCACGGAGTTAATGCCACTTCATAGGGATTCTATGGGGCAGAGTAGGATCACTCGTTATAATCTCCAAAACTGTAAATCTTTACAGAAGCAAATTGCCTCATCCACCTCCTGTGGAACAGCTGGTGGGTTCAAACCACCAACCTTTGGGTTAACAAGTGAATGCCAAACCACAGCAGCACTGGAGCTTCTTCCCTGTAAGCGACCTAGATAAACTCCCAGCCAGCAGATGACGCTTGGCAGGTTTCAACAGAGCTTCCAGACAAAGGTAGGTGCGGAAGAAAGGACTGGCAATCTAATTCCAGGAAGCAGCCTCAAAAAACCCTCTGGGGCACAGAGGCTCGATTCACAGCCAATCTCCGGGATGTGCAGGACAGGGCAGTGTTTGTTCACTGGCAGACGGGGTCACCATGGGTGGATGGCCAATTCCACGACCACTAACAACAGGTGCCAGCCAATCAGAAAGATGTCCTACCACTGTTGTGTGTGCTATGGAGTCCAAACTGACCCTCAGCTGATGCTCCAGGGGCTTTTCAGAGGCCATAAATAGCACAGGAGGAGACTGCCCATCTTTCTGCCAAGGAGCAGTCTGTGGATTCAAACTGTGTGCCTATGGACTGGCAGCACAGCTCCTTACCCCTAGGTCATCAGCTCTCCCTAAACAACCATTAAGTTGTTGTTATTGGTGTTGGTGTGTATCATCAAGTCAGAACCAACTTATTGCTGACCTTCCAGTGGGTTTTTAGAGGACATAAATCTCACGGAAGGAGACTGACCATCTCTTTCCCTCAGAGAAGCTGGTGGATTTGAACTGCAAGCCTCTGTGTTGGCAGTGCAACTCCCACCAGAGCTCCCTAAACAACTAGTGTAGTTACAGTCTATACACATGGTGACATATCGTGTGATAGTCTGGGGAGAGGGGGTGGGATGCGTGTCTAAGAATTTTCATTTCCATTATGCAAGACCCTTCTTGCCAAATAGATGAGGGTTCCCTCGACTTTCGGTGAGGGTCTGTGGTGCATGTGGATTTGATGATGCTCATTCTCCGTGTTTATATAACCTTTCCCCTAAACATTCTAGAGAGTCTATCCCTGCAACACATTTCCACAAACCGGCCCAGTCCAACTCCTGCCTGATCCCCTGCTAAGATGTCATTTTAAAACTTTAAGGTTGGGCAGGACCAACCCATGGGGCTTTTCAACTGCTTCATCTGCTTGTGAACACTAGAGAGTGAATGAAGACGGAAGACGGAAGAGGTGATGCCTCTGGAGTTCAGTGTCGGCAAAGAGGATGAGACAGACAATGAACTGCAGAAAGAGCAAAGAAGTCTGTCCTAGAAGTGTCGTCAGAGTATCCATGGATGCAAGGATGGTAAGACATGTCAGGAGGGGCCCATCCTTGGAGAAGGGCTTGGTGCTCAGGAAAGTGGAGGTTCCATGAAGGAGAGGAAGACCACCAAGGGGATGCATTGTCACAGTGACGAGGAACACAAGGATGCTGATGATGGTGCAGACGACAAGGGGAGTGAGCACAGAGGATGATGATGATGATGATGGAGCAGTTGACAAGGGGAGTGAGCACAGAGGATGATGATGATGGAGCAGACGACAAGGAGAGTGAGCACAGAGGATGATGATGATG